ACGCTACTATGATGCACAAATGTATTAACAAGCTTGTTCCAGACTATCTTGCTGATATGTTTAAATTACGTTCTCAAGTCCATAATAGACAAACTCGATCATCTGGTGCTTTGGATATACCTTTCTGTCGCCTGTCAACAGGGCAGCGCTCCTTTGCTTTCAGAGGAGCCAAACTCTGGAACTCCTTGAATGATAACATTAAGTCTTTAAAATGCCCCAGGAATTTTAGACGTCATCTTGCAAACGTTTTATTAAGTTGATATATTATATTATTGATATATATTTTGTAATTATAACATTATTGTATTTACATTCTCAATTAATTTATATATTGAGCTGAAAAGCCCACTTAGGGAGCATCAATAAAGTATATGTATGTATGTATGTATGTATGTATGCAATCTCGAAATCGAGTGTTCTCTCTCTGAACGTAGCCCCTTAAGAGCGTTAGTAAATTGTCGAAAGAATCTCTCCCCATTCTCAAATGTCTACGGGAAAAGGCTTCAGGGAAGTTACGCTGGTGCATGTGGATTTCAAACCAGGATTCTACAGGTCGAGGAAATGTCCAATACGGGTGAAAACAACGATGACGTCGACGTCTGTTGAGCAGCTGAGTTAAAGTCTCCATTAACCGTAAAAGCCGAATCCTTCCTAACAAAACCAGAAGTAATTGTTGACTAGCCACTATCAGGTTTTGCATGGCAAGCAAACAGCAAAGAAGGGCGATTAAAACATTTCATGGGAGCATTTTGATTCGCGATCAGTCCTTGACCGGAAACGACATAAAAATCGGTATCTATTTCCATTGATTGACATTTGTGGTTACACAAATAATTAGCATGTCTCAGTGCGAACGCTATTACGAAAACAAAAAATTCGTGATTACAAAATTTTCAATTTTTTTGCAAACACCAAACCAAATTTTTCGGTGTAGTGCGAACAGGCCCTAAGCATCGTTTTTGCATCCTAAAGGACAATATTAATAAAAAAATATAAATTATAACAAAATAAATATATCTCTTTATTTTGCCCATTAAATACATAACAAACATCACAGAGAGTGAAGTATACAAATCGTGAAAATCGCACAGATTATTTGAAATTATCATATAAAACCTGATAAAACATTGGATGTCTAATTTGTTAAATTGTATTTAAACGCTATTCTATGAAAGTAACTTAATAGTTATTCAATTAAAGTAATAATATCAGACTGTAGTTTGTATGTTATAATTAATTTCTTCTTGATAATGTGACTGTCATTTATTGGAAAGGTGCAGAAAGAAAGGTTCCTCATTAGTTGGAGAGAACTTTTTGCATGAACACTCTCTGGTAGCTCAGCGTATCATTTGTGATCATCTAAGGGCAGTTGGTGGAGTTCTTAATGTGCCAATTACAAAGAAACTACTTGCGGCAGCAGCTTCATCACGACAGAAATATGAGAAGGATCTACAGGACCAAAGGGACAAAAAAAAGACAGCTTCAAAGCCGAGGCAACTGGGCAGCTGACTTTTGTCACTAAGTCCAATGCTCTTAGAAAGACTCTTCAATTACAAGAAATTGAAGACAAATTAAATGGAAAGTTAGAAGCTCTAAAGGGCTGCTGAAACGTTATGCTAAGATTTTTTTGAGGACTTTCAGTACGTATTTATTATTTTGCTTACGTAATTTAGACTTAGTAGAAGCTGTCAAATAGCCAGTGACTGTGGTCGTTTTACAGAATGTGAGTACAGACACTTATACCATGGTCTCGTCAACCAAGCCTGAACTATCTGAAAATTGTAAATTACTTTGTCAAGTGATTTGGTTATGAAAAGTGGTCAAGGAGTTTAGATTGACGAATAAAACTTAGTCCTTGAAAGCTATTTTTTGTCCTTGAAAAGTCCTTGAAAAGTCCTTGAATTTTATTTGTCTGAAGTTGTAGGAACCATGGTTTCAGAATATGACAAGGAGAAGAAACTTGAAAAAAGAAGAGCCAATTATAAAAAACAATTATCTGAAGAAAGTGCTGAAAAAAAGCAAGAAAGGCTTGCAAAAATGAGAGCTAGTTATAACAAACGATGCTCTGAAGAAACTGCTGAAAAAACCAAGAAAGGCTTGCAAAAAGGAGAGCAAATTATAAAAAGCAAGCTTCTCAGCAACCAGTGAAAGAGAGGCAAGAAAAACGGATTAATACTCCAATTCATGAGCAAACACAGGCAAAAAGCAATATTGATATGTTTCATAAGTCCAATATCTAAATTAAAGATAAATATTTTTATCAGATATCAGCCAATCAGTATCTCCGTTGGCAACGCGGTAATTAATAATAGCTCCGAGGTTAAAAATCTATGCTGTTGGTTGGATGCTAACCTAAGCATGTCTAAGCATATTACAAATATTTGCAAATCTGCATTCTTTTATCTTCATAACATTACAAGCATTAAGAAATATTTACATGAAGACAGTCTCCATACTTTAGTTCATGCGTTTATAACGAATAGATTAGATTATTGTAACAGTCTTTTGTATGGTGCCTCAAAGGAACTGATAGCTAAAGTACAACATGTACAGAATGCAGCCGCAAGACTGCTATTGAACGTTGGAAGGTACTCGCATATTACTCCTATTCTATATGAGTTACACTGGCTTCCAATCCAGGCTCGCATTAAATTTTAAATTCTTCTACTTACTTTTAAAGCGGTTCATAATTTAGCTCCGTCATATATTAACAGCCTTATAACTATTAAATCAAAATCTTCTTATTGTCTTCGATCTAATGACAGTCTTTACTTAGAGCCCCCTAAGGGTAAGATGCTGAAGACATTTGGAGCTCGGTCTTTTCAGGCAGCAGCACCATACTTATGGAACAGACTTCCTTATGAAATTAGAATGACTAAGTGTTTGGATAAATTTAAAAAAGCTATTAAAACGTTTCTGTTTAATGAAGCTTTTAGTAATCATTAACTCAGATATATTACATTAAAATAACTTATTCTTATATATTTCTAGCTACCATTACTATTGTAAATTTTATTTAGATATATAAGGTTTTTAATTTTTATTCAGTGTAAAGCACTATTGATCTGTACATGTAAATAGGGCTATACAACTAATAAATTATTATTATCATTATTATTATTATTATTATCTATACAGTTTACCAGTGTTCTGTTTGTTGGGAAGCATGGCCCATAAAGTTCAGGCCAAAAATCGCTAATCAATATCAGTGTTCAAGGTGCACCAATGATAAACAACAACCAAAGAAATTTTGAAAAGAGAATGATATGATTCCTTCATTAGTTCCTTCTCAGCTTGCCGGCTTAACCCAAGTAGAAGAAATGCTTATTGCATGAGCACTTCCCATTATGCGTGTTTACATAAAGCCTGGTGGGCAACGGGGCTATTCAGGTCACTGTATCAACCTTCCACAGAATGTAGGTGAACTAGCACATTCTCTACCAAGATACCCAAAAGATTTATCTGTTATAGTTGTCAAGATGAAAGGTAAAGACAACAGCTTTAAAGATGTAACAGTTCGAAGACAAAATGTTGCAGATGCACTGGATTGGCTTATTAATAACAATCCGTATTACAAAGACATAATTATCAACAACGATTCTTTGAATTCATTGCCTTTACATGGTGTACCACAAGATCTACTTTCAATAGAAACAGAAAATCTTGAAAACAGTGAAGCTAGCGAGCCTGACTTAGGGCCTCAAAACGAAGAAGACATAGTTTATAATGAAAGCACAGAAATGAGCAGTTTTCTACCTATTCCTGAATGTCAACAGCAAGAAGTTCAAGCTATACAACAACAGTTGTGTCACCAGCCTACACATATGCCTTGGCCAACAGTAGATAATGAGCCATTGAATGAGTATCTAACTCCTTTCTTAGCAACATTAGCTTTCCCTACATTATTTCCTGATGGCAAGGGTTACCCTACCAATCCTTCACTTCACAGAGATGTACCTCTTGCAGAAAGAGTTAAGCATCTTTTAAGATTTGGAGAAAATATAGATGGCAAGTGGCTATACCGCTTTGCCAGTCATCCAAGATTTGCTTACTGGGCTTTGAATATGATCAAAAGAAAACGTATTCTGCAGCAAACAGGAATATTTCTCAAGCAGAATCCTGTAGAAGAACTGCAACAAATGGCAGCTGACAACAACACAAATGTTTTTGTATCTAAGTTATCACGCTATCTTAGTAACATAGCTGGCTCAAATGCTTATTGGCATAAAGCTAAAGAGGATTTAAAAGCAATAATAAGTCATGTTGGAGCTCCAACATTCTTTTTCACTTTTTCCTCTGCTGACATGTATTGACCTGACCTACATGCATTATTTAGCAGCTCATTAAGTGATACCACACCTGAGAGCAGACGGCAGATGTCATTAACAATCCTCACATCACTGACTGGTTCTTTACACAGCGTTTAGAAAACTTCATTAAACATTGGTTGTATAATTCACTGGATACTGAGTGGCACTGGTACAGATTTGAGTACCAAGCCAGCGGTAGTATACACTGTCATGGTGTTGCAAAACTTAAGAATGACCCAGGATTATGTCAACTTTCAGAAAACAGCTCTTAAAGGCTATTTGGCAGAAGTGTCCCTTGATAAAGCTGAACAATCAGATATTCTAGAACTAAACAAACAGATACTGGAAGGAAAAAAAGCTTCTCAAACTGTATGTGAATATGTAGACTGGTTATTATCTACATACAATCCAGACCCACCACAGAATGGTTTTTGGATTAAACCCTCCATTCATCCTTGCCAGAGGCAACACAAAGATATTATGGACACTCGACAATCTGATGATGATTATGTAGACTTACTGAATACAGTACAAAGGCACACTCCTTGCAGTACCAATTATTATCTTAGAAAGAAACAGAATGAAACAAATGTTAAGTGCAGATTTAACTTTCCATTTCAACCTTGCACTAGTACAAAACTAGAATTTGAACCAATTCATACAAAAGATGGAAGTCCCAAATACAAGGCC